TGTCTTATCATGGTAGGACAGGCAGAGATTGACCAATCAAAATCTGATCAATCAAAATCTAACAAAAGAAATTCTGACCATGCGGTGCGTTACTCTGCCTTTTCTCCCATCTACATCCTTGGAGGACGGACGTTGTTTCAAAGTTTGTTATTTATTTTATCAAGATTTTGGTGAGTAAAATTATTTCATTATGTCTTCTATGAGTAAAACTTCAGTTGTCATTCTTGGACACTCAATTGTGCGTCGTTTTCATGAATTCTTGAAATATGGTGACATTAGGTATTCTGCGAGTCTTGGTCTTGGAGAAACGCATTCCGTTTTGTACAAGGGTGTGGGTGGAAGAAAGGTTCGGGATGTAATATCTAAGGATATGGAGAGCGTGTTTGCTTGAGGTCCAGATGTAGTTGTTCTAATGATTGGGGAGAACGATATTAGTCCTAGTACCGACGCTACCTTATTAGCTGCAGAAATTGAATCTGTGGTATCGGTAATGCATCGCCGCTATAAAGATGCAAAAATAATTGTTAATTATTGCCATGATTTGGTGTTTGTTTTGGGTACAATACTATTGCAGACAAAGTAAACACAATATTGAGAGATGCATTGCCAGCACTGGGTTACTGCGTATTTTGGGAAAATGGGAATTTTTTTCGTTTCTCCCCGTGAAGGAGACTGCAGTCGTAAATTTGTTCACGACGGAGTTCATCTGAACAGTCGGGGGAATTTTCATTTATATAGGAGTATAAGGGGAGCTTTAATTTCAGCGATCAAATAGATATACATCTAAGTCAAAAAAGTTTTTTTTTCACCATTCTGTTACTTTTATTGTTCGTCAATTTTTCAGATAGATTTTCTTTGAAATTATACAACATTTTGTTATTTTAACAGTACGATAGGCATTTATGATGTCTAATAGTGTATATCATATTCATCCTTTTTCTGTGAAGAAAATTCGGTTGGAAAAGTATCAGCCAATTTGATTGTTTTGTTGTTTTGTTGTTAGTTTAATTTTTACAGTACTTTAAGCAGATCCCAAGTACAAGTTTCAGGCAGTTTTTCGTACTTGCCAAGTTTCAACCCATTTGTTTTTTGTTTTTTTTTTCATTTTAGTTTCGGCTTTTACCATACAGATGGCGATTTTTTTCCATCGTTTTTTATTTGATATCTAGGAATGTTTTTTAAAGCATTCCAGATTTATCCTTTTTCTGTGAAGTAAATTCGTTGGAAGAATGTCTGCCAATTAGTTTGTTTCGGTATTAGTTGATTACTAAAATATTGTGAAGTTTTTCATTACTTTAGGCAAATCCTAAGAAGAAGTTTCAGGCAGTCTTTTGTACTTGCCAAGTTTAAACCCGTTCGGGTTTTTCAATTTAGATTCAGCTTTTACCCTGCAGATGGCGATTTTTTCTATCGTTTTTTATTTGATGTCTATGAATGTATTTCAATGCATTCCAGATCGACTTATTCTTTTTCTGTGAAGGAAAATCGTTGGAAATTGTCTGCCAATTTGTTTGTTTCGGTATAAGTTGATTACTAAAAAATTTTTACAGTACTTGAGGCAAATCCTAAGTACAAGTTTCAGGCAGTCTTTTGTACTTGCCAAGTTTGTACCCATGCCGGTCTTTTCATTTTAGTTTCAACTTTTACCCCCAGCGATTTATTTTCCATCGCTTGTTTATTTGATTAGTCTAGAAATGCATGTGATGCGTTCCAGATTTATCCTTTTTCTTTATAAAAAAAAAACAATTCGTTGGAAAACATCTGCCAATTTGTTTGTTTCGGTATTAGTTGATTACTAAAATTTTGTGCATTTTTACAGTACTTTGGGCAAGTCCTAGGTACAAGTTTCAGGCAGTCTTTTGTAGTTGACATTTACACGTGTAGTCGAATGTAAACATGATGTTTATCCCTCATAAGACACTTGTGAATTCAATTTTTTTTTTATCATAATTGAATTGTAAAAGATTAATAGAAACAGTATCTTGTCATATACTAGTAAACTGTATATATTTCATGAGAAAGTTGTTTTGTTGCATTACGGGACATATGTTTATTCCCATTTTTGTAAATTTTACTCACTTTTGGTATGATTCATGTTTGAGGTGTGTTGCCTCATTTATTTTTCCTTTATGGGTCTGAACTTTCCCTAGTTCGGTCAAGTCAGTGGCGTTTTCAGACCCATTTTCATGATTTTTCTGTTAAATCTAAGTGGTAATTACTGTAAATTTGGATTATCTCCCTTTACAAAATTGGTTTTATTTCTCATCTTGATATTTTATGTCTGCTAAAAATTATATTATTAATAATACTTTTGAGAATTTCAAACAAATTATTAAACGTCACAAAGGTGGCAACACACGAGGATAAGATAAGGAGTTCTAGCGTTGAAAGGATTATGGAAAGAAATTAACCAGTTGATGGGTAAATACTTATTGTATTAAAATAAATAGAATTATTTATCATAGTGTAGTATACTTGTGTGCTAGGTGATATTGAAATCAGACCAAAATCGTAGAAGTAGAAGTAGCATTTTAAAAGTATTTCACAGACATTTTAATTTTTAGTTATCACGGCAACACCGTTCATCAAATTTAGAAACCGATAAATAGAATTATGTATCTTAGTGTAATCTATCTTTGTGCCAGGTTATATTTAAGGTAGTCCGATCCTCAGGTATATAAAATTAGCAGTTAAGTAATCAAAAATACTCATAAAAGTATTTCTGAATCCATCAATTTAAGTAAATTTATCCACAATATTTCTTTAAAGTTATAGATTAAAGTTAATCATATAATATATAGTGAAAATTGACAAATCTCCAATATTTTTGCAGAACAAACGAACTGGAATATCAGCAATGCATTTTCTAATTGCAAACTGATCAGCAAATATATTTTAGGTTAAAAAACGATAGGTATCCAGGCAATCAGAGAAATTGTCATGATTTTCATACTTATTTGGTATTTTTTGTCTTCTATTCCCTTCATGTATTCTATAATACATAGTGTAAAAGGCTTTTGCTATCATTGCAAGACACCACAGATCACTTCTCATTTCACACCATGTTTATAATCATTGGTATCTAAGGCTGGATTCAAGAAAATCTTATCTTTTTAAAACTGTATTGATTTTTATATAACTTTTATAGGGGACAAATGTCAACTTTTATAATACCTTTTCTAAGACTTCCAGAGACCTTAAATCTTATAAGGATGAATAAAATGAAAATTGTTGCATGAAAAATTTTCATTTTAAAGCTTCATTTTGATGCATATCAAATTAGATATTAATTTTTGGAGTTATCCTTCTTGGCTGAGGATTGGATATCCTTAAATCAGACAAAAACTGTAGGAGGATTAGAATTTTGAATAAATTTCACAGGAATTTCTATTTTTAGAAAGCACTGCAACACCGTTCTTCAAAATCAAAAACCGATAAACAGAATTATATATCATAGTGTAGTCTACTAGTGTGCCAAGTTATATTGAAATCAGACCAAAACTGTAGGAGGAGAAGCGTTTTGAAACATTGTTTACAGACAGACGGACGGACGACGTACGCTTTTCTATCGCACAAGCTCTACTTGTCTCTGACCAGTAGAGCTAAAAATGGAAATTTCTGTGAAATACTTTAAAATGCTACACGAAACAAATTTAATGGTTGTTAAATTACTGTACTAGATTGTCAAATATTAACATTTATGATTGATTGATTGTATATTGTTTAACGTCCCTCTTGAGAATTTTTCACTCATGTGGAAACGTCACCGTATGCCGGTGAAGGGCTTCAAATTTAGACCTATACTCGGCACTCAGGGCCATTGAGCAGTGAGGGTTCTTTATCGTGCCAGCGCCTACCGTGACACGGGACCTACGTTTTTAAGGTCATATCCGAAAGACCCGTGACTTTCACTTCTGTTGCCGAGCGCTTGGCGAAGGAACAGTCACTACCTATATTTACGTCTTAGGTTTGACGCGGCGCCGGGAACGAGAATCGAACCCGGACCTCCCGATCACGAAGCGAACGCTCTACCACTAGGCTACCGTGAACGGTTTAACATTTATGAAATAAACAACAAAAGAATTTTAAGTTATGATCAAAGCAATCTTGTTGACTTTAACAAATAAACAAAACATCTATTTTTTTCAGTGTATTTATACGCCATACATATAAATGCAGTTGACAATTGACCTTTTAGTAGTAATTCAATAGAGAAATACCGGTATACATACTACAGGCATTACCAAGAAATTAACAGGATGGATGACCTTTCAATAGTATTTCAATAGAGAAATATAAAACCAGAGGTATTACCAAGAAGATACCAAAATAGACTTATGTAGTGTTTATCATAGAGAAAACAATTGGATATGGAAATATTATTCGATCATTTTCGTAAATTCCTTTTCAAAACCTTGCACATTTAGTCACCCCTCGGGAAGGGGACGGAGATGGTTTTGATCATCTTGAATCCCTCCTACATGTATCTTAGGATATGTGCATATTATATGACAAGTCATGGTTTAACTCTTTTTCAAAATATGAATTTCAAACACATTTCCTATGTATCCCTATATAAAATTTCACCCGTACCCTGATCACTTATTGCCCCCCCCCCCCCTTTCAACCCTGAGGGTGAATCCGACCCCACTTTTAACATCTTTGAATATACGGATATTTTTACGATAAGCTCCATTTTTATTTCTAGAAATGTTTTTTATCTTCAAACATAATATATTTTCGTGTTACTTAACTGAGCAGATCTATGAACTAGCATCGTTTTAGATAGCTCAATGGTTTGTTAAAAAAAATAACACTACCTTAGGATGAATCATTTAGAGGTTTCATTTTTTCTGTCCCTGTGATTCTAAGACAAATTTCCACTCTTTCTTTCTATGGTTGAATTTTGCCTAATGGTTCTTAAATAAATCAAAAGTGTGAAAAATGTACAAACATCCCCTTCAAGATTTGCAAATGAAGAACTCGTCTTCTTTTTAAAGACTACCTTAATGAGCATTGTGGTCGAACTCTGCATGTGGAGAGTTTTATCCGACTCCAGGCGTCCAAAGACAACCATCTGCGGCCAGACTTGACATGTCTGGTGTACCTTTCAGCTACACCTGGAGATTCTTCGAGGATCCACACTCGCTTTCGCAGCATCGACCTGTCCATACGAACATCAAAATGTGAGAGGTCAAGGATAGAACTTTACGAAGGAACAAGAAATGCAAATCCGCTTACACGTAAATTGTTATTACACTTTGTTTTTTTTTTCTTTCTTTCTTTCTACTTTGTCTTTTGATATGTGAGCAAACATCCGTCAATAATCTTTTTTTTCAGCAATCAACGGACTTTGTGGGGACTTTCTTTACAAAACTTACAGCTACTTTACTGTCAATGAGAGTATCATGACCTTTAATTTGACAACTGGTCCTTCTACAAAAGAGGGTTCATTTGATGCAATTGTTACAAACTTCCATAAAGTCGAAGAAGGTATACATGTAAGATAAGTTAGATGAAATATTTGAAAACATTTCGACCAGGTTTGTCATTAATTCTCCTTTATTTTTTTTCTTACCTATCCGTGAAAATATGCTTTATAAGGGCCCTTTCACAATTAGCGCACGAGCAGAAGCAACAAAATATTCGTGCGACCGGAAAACTTTGATTTGGATCGTAAATTGTTGCTGAAATAATCGTATATGAAAAAGTATTCGTACGAAATTCGCATGATTTAAATCGACCGTTGTGCATTAAATCTTACGATATATTTTGTGTTTATATGCGACTGTTGTGCAATGAAAGCGAGTGTTGTACGATAATGCAAAAGGATCGCACGAGTGATCAAGTGATCGGATGATTGAACGTTCACTAATGCGATTGGACGTAAGGTGTTCGTGCAATTATGCGTTTCATGGTACGAATGATTGTGCGAGTGAGAAGGGGAATACATACATGTATGTACTAACTGTTTCCGACCCTCGTCAGTCGAATGCAAGAGATGCCTCCCAAAAAAGATGACAAAGGCTACATGCTACACTTGCTGGAGCTTTACATCAAGCCAAGGTAAACCGTAGAAAGAAGGCCCAGGAGTTGGATGCCCAGGACCTGCTGCAGCAGCCGAGCCCTGTTCATAATCCGCCAGAGCTTGTCGACGAGGGGGAAGAGCCACCAGACCAGCTAGTTGAGCCTTTCGAACCTGATGGATACAGTAAGGATGACGACGAGGAAGATCCTATCAAACATATATAGTTGGACATGACTCCAGAGCTGGCAGACTTTAACCAAGAAAACCCCTGTTTCCATGATAAAAGTCAGAGTGATTTAAAAACTCTAAAAAAAAAAAAGATCGCCTGATTCAGGAAAAGGCAGCAGCTATGAATTTAACAGGTGCTTAAATCAAAATCATATTATTGAATATTTTAATTGATTTATTTTGATATATTTTATTGATGAATATTTTAAATTCTTAATGTTAACCAATTCTGGCATTTGTTTCTTTTCAGTAGCAAAGATCAGGCTCTGGAATAGATCCAACAGACCATCCTGGGCAAGGTCCAGAAAAAGAAGAGTGGCCAGAAAAGATGCAACCACAAGGCCAGGCAGAGGTGGTTGGATAAAAACTTAGGCTTCCTGAGAAGGCACTCTCCATCTCCGTTATCAATGTTTCATACTGGCCAAATAACATGGGCCTCTCAATCCATGGCTTGACCAACCAACGTCTTCTATGTCTTTCATGTCTCTGTTGACGACGAAGAAGTAATGACTGCACGAACATATGTCATTGCTGGAGTACTTGGAGTTGTATTCGGAGATTCAGAAAACCAATCAGACGGCGAGAAGGTATTGGTGAAGCAACATCCTTGGTCAATTGTAGTCTGAAACAGAGATGCTTATACAGGGTTAACATATACTATTGGCAAAGCATGGGAAATAGAAGCTGATAAATCGTGCATAGTAAAACGTTGCAAGATTACAAGAGACACGTAGGCAACAGTCTCACAACACACGCATATACAGCTGCGATTCATCTTACGACCTTTAAAAATCGCGAATCACTCTTGCCAGAACACAAAATGTTGTACGATGCTCGTACTAATATTCGTGCGTTGAATTGCGATAAATGTGAATCGCATTTGGTCGCGTCTGAAAAGTGTGGATGTCGACTATTTTGAGGAGACTTGATGCGACCACTAAAACACATGCAACGAAATATGAAACATCGTGCAACGTATGCGAGAGCTCGGCGAGAACTCATGTGAAGCTAAACTTTTCCGATCGCAAAGTGTTGTAAACTGCGCGTTCGCAAATTGTGAAAGGGCCTTAAAAACTGACAAATGTTGAAACTTTTAGTTCATTAAACTCTGTATCATTAAAAAAAATCAGATGAGAAGTGTTTATATAAGTGGTGGAAATGTCGAAATGGCCGGTGTGTTCATCCATCAACCAGATGCAACTCGTTTGATAATTGTGGAGACAACAGCGATGAGACATACGAAACATGTGACACAACAAGTATGTTATAAAAAAAATTCACTTTGGAAAGGATAATGATAACATTTTTTTAGTTCTTGTCTCCCTTTGACATTTGATTTATATTATTCAGAGAATCAGCTTATAACAAATTCGAAGCTTTTGTGTCTTAGTGGATAGATATAGTCATTAATTACTACAATTTGTTTCAAATATAAACTTTCCTATGTTATTCAAAAATAATTTCCAAAATCATTTTTTAAATAAAACTAAATATCAAGGACAAAGGGTCATAGCATGCTTAGAAACATCTTATCACATACCATGCACATGTCACATACGAAACAAAAAATATTTTTTTCTCAACAAGAAGTTAGAAGGAACGACAACTTGTTATACCCCACGCAACAAGTTACGTGAGGTATTATTATCTTGAGCCGTCAGTCAGTCAGTCCGTCAGTTCTGTTTTTTTTTTCAGCGCAACTCCTCATAACGCTGCACAGAATTTCATCTAGACGTCGCGCATAGTATTGGGATCTTAAATTGCGTAACTTGTAACACTGTAAACGACGGGCGTTAGAATTTTTGGTCATTTTATTATTTTGGATACATGGATTTTTCTGTCAATTTATACCAATCTTCTATAATGTCTTGTGATGATGTCAAACAAAATTCGATAATAAATCTCAAGTATACTGACCGATACCGACTGTTCGAAAATTGGAAGCATTCTGTAATATGCCGTAATCTTGACGAGTTACAAGAAAAGGTGGAATGTTCGGTCAAGATTTTTTACTATATAACATTTTCTTTTCGTAAAACTAAAGTGACTAATGAAATGTGCAAATCAAGAAGTAGTCAAATGTTTCTTTAAAAGATTATAAGCACCTAATTGTAGAGTTTAATAGAGCGATGTTGATGTCTAGTCTGTTTTGTTACTAAGACACAAATATACGTACATGTATGATGTATTAAACAGGACGTACCCCTGCGAGGTGAAATTCATAATTTCAGGAACTTTTATGAATCGTTCATGAACATTCATGATGTGTTCATGAACAGTTCATGACTGGTTCATAAAGATGGTTCATGAACTTTATTTATGAATATATTCATAAAATGTAGTTCATGAACAAATGATGAATTTATATGAATATTGGTAATTTTCATTTTAAAGACAGAAAAAATGTAGAGTTCAAGGTATTATGAATGTTCATGAATTTTCATGAAGACTAAAATAATTGACAAAAATGATTGACAGAAAACACTCATTACTCTCATAATGCAGCTTTTGCATGCAGATGCAATTGTTGAACAAGCCCCTGGCATAATTTATATTTAATAACATTCTTTCACCAACTATCTGAAAAAATAAATCATGAAATCTCTAAACATTTCGTGTTTTTATTTGATTTTAATTTAACAAACACTGCATCACCATTGAAAGCATTTTTTTTTCAAATTTTCTTCATAATTTAAATTAAACAGTTATATTCATCATAATGTGCTTTAAATAATGTCGTTTTTCATCCCACAACTTTGTTCGACCGAATTTTCTCTAACATCAAACTTTAAGCAAGTTGCAAAATAAAAAATTCACAGTTTCTTTTACAATGTTTTTTGAGACAAATATAATAGCATATACCACTCAGATGTACGATATAAGCACACCTTTTTTAAATGTATGTATTCTCAATGAAACTGCAAAGTATTTTACATCAAAGGTTATTAACAGAAATATCCAAGAAAAAATAAGATTACTGGGGATCACCTTGGTTAAATTAATGATAATCAAGTTATGATATACATGTACATGTATGTAGTAAACTAAAGTATGCATTTTTTTTTTAATAAGAGGTTAGATTCATTAAATGACATTGGCCGAGGATTGGGAGAGGTCATTGAAACCTCAACAGGATATACATTTACAATAAAGTGCCAGTGGCCCATGTACATTTACTGTACAAAATTAGTGACGAGAGTGACAAACACATGTATTAAATGCAAAAATACATGTAGTACACAACTACATTGATACAAAGATCCCATAAAATGAACAGTTGCTATTTTCCACCAATGTACGTTCCAAAGATCCCAATTATGGAAGATACAAAACTTCTGACATGTTGCTAGAATCACATCCTCACAAATATCCCATGAAATTTGCAATAGAGGGTTGACAGATATTTGGTGTCACCAACGGATTCACTTTTAGTACGAAGGCTCAGCAAGTTCGATGTTGATCATTCCAACAGACACTTCAAACTTTCCTTGCACAATTTCTGAAAGAGGAGATGACCATTTAAGATGTATCATTATTGATATCCGTATAAATATATGACAAATAATAAACTAAAGCTCTACAAAACAATTGTTCTTTTCTACCTGGCAGATCAGTTTACTGTAGAATATGAATTCACTATCTTGCAATTTTTTGTTCAAATTAGGATGAATTCTGATAAATGTAAAAATGTGAAAAGTTTATAGACAACAGACAAACACCAGACTGTGACACTGATCAAAAAACTCACTTAGGCCTTAAAATGGCTCAGGTAAGCTTAAATGAAAAGGCTAGAGCTGAAGCTCAATGCCTGACTAACATTGAAAAAAATTAATTTCAATTCATGTGATTTTATTGATTAAGAAAATAATGAAGAAATCTTACCATTTTTTTATACAGTTCTTGTCCTAAATCTTGTGAGCATCCGGATTCCTGTAAAATGCATGTATACTTCATAGAAGATGATATATATTTAATCTAAAATAATTATACATATCCATGCTGTTAGCATGTTTAGATTACCTTTCAGAATTCATTGTTAAAAATAATAAGGATATGGAAATTAGGCATGTTAAGAATATAAATCTTTAAATGTTGTTTACTTGGCATAGTTGCAATACTTTTTAATCTTATGCTTAAAGACATAGATTAATAAAATCAAAGTTAGTTTATTTGTTTTGAATGATAATTTGAGCTGGTTCTCACCATATTCACAAGCCTAGTGACTGATTGGTTAAGCATCTACATGTATATGCACTTTTATCAAAGGCCAGGGCTGTGAAAATCATCTCAGGCAATGCAGCAACTATTAAAACAATCGAAACATGCAAGATAAGAGCTGAAAATGGTCATACTCTGTAAATGTTATCTTGAACAAAGGAAGGTGCAGGTAAAATTCTTTACATCACAGGGTCTTGACTCAATCTGAGCAAAATTGAGTATATAGTATAATAGGGGAAAAGGGACCTAACACGCCGCCATTAATTTCTGGGTGCCTCGCTTAAAACTCTCAAAACTTTTATTTTTATTCGAAAAATCCATAAAAATGTCTTGCCAGTCGAGAGGCAGAATGTTATCCTTAATTGTTATAAATAAATCGTTAATCTTACTTCATTTAAACTTAAAAAAAAATATTCGAACTTCCGAGAATTGGGTCGCCGTCGTTAACTTCGCACCATTTTTTCATGCAATTTTCGTTCATTACCTTGATTTTCACGCACTTGTCATCCGTTGCACTTTATCTTAGAGTAGCGTTTCATAATATAACTCCTTCTGGACACCCTCACAATATTTGAATGACTATTAATCGTCCGTCTCGAGAGATCACATCCATTTTCACCACCGATTAGCCTAAGAGGTCAATTGGGTCAGCCATATTTGAAAGATTTTTTCCAAGTAATATTGTCCAATCGTCTTTCACCTTTTAAACTCCAGTCATTAAGTGCGGGACGTCAAAATCAAGGTAATGAACGAAATGGTGCGAGGTTAACGACGGCGACCCAATTTTCGGAAGTTCGGATATTTTTTTTAAGTTTTAATGAAGTAAGATTAACGATTTATTTATGACAATTAAGGATAACATTCTGCCTTTCGACTGGCAAGGCATTTTTATGGATTTTTCGAATAAAAATGAAAGTTTTGAGAGTTTGAAGCGAGGCACCCAGAAATTAATGGCGGCGTGTTAGGTCCCTTTTCCCCTATTATACTATATACTCAATTTTGCTCAGATTGAGTCAAGACCCTGTGCTTTACATCAGTTCGATTCCCAGCAAGGAAATTCGGGTTAAAATCAATGATCTTAATGATATGTATAGATTTGTTAAATAATCATTACAGAAATAGTGCTTGTCCTAAGGATGTCACAGTCGGGCATTTTATGTATGGTGCCCGGATTAATCAAAAGTAGCAGAAACATTCTTCGTTCGAGGACACATAAAATACTGTACAATATTGTACCTACCGGTCTTTAAAATGTCGTCATCTTCTTTCATCCCAAGCTGACCATGATACCCCTGTTCGTGGCACTCGTTCCAACTTTCCTTCTGTGGAACATCAACACGGTATTCGATATCTTTGAATTTCGGTGTTGTTAAAATTAATTGTTCATCGAGCCCGACTTCGATCCCGATGTTATTGTAATATTAGTCCAATTTAATTGATGACGTAAAAAGTTCGAATTCTTTATTGATAAAACTTATTTTGATATAAAAAAAATTGTATTTTCAGTGAAAAATTATTCAGATAGTGTTTGCTATTTTTTTAAACAGAAATCTTGGAAATTCGAAACTAACGTATTTCTTAGCTCTACCGTACATTTTTGAAAAGGCGCAAACTTGAAAACGCGCGAGACGTTGGAAGTGGGAATTTGGAGAGTGGAAGGATCGGTATTTGTGATCTATAATTTGCATAGTCACTGATCTTTGTCAACTTTTAAAGAAAATAACAGAATATGAAGAAGGAAGACTATATATAGGATTGATCTACTTCATAACTGGTGAGTGACAAAAATGGAGGCAATCACTGAGTCAGAAATCTGTCTGTAAATGTTACTGTCTATTTGTAAAATAAATAAATATGTCTTCTTTTTTTTTTAAATGAAAGTTTTGTCTAACTTTGCTTTGAGTTTGAATCCAACCATATAACATACATTAATTATAGACTGAGACTCGAAACATTCATAGGCCTGATTGATCTACAAAATGGCGGTCCAAGAAAATAGGCTTAAATTCCATTCAGAATGTTTTAATTTGGAAGTGCCTCTGATGCAAAATTAAATGAAACTAAAATGCAAGAAAATACACAAAAAAGTCATATGTTTTACAATCATGGGTAATTTCAGAAAATCTTTCTTTTTGAAGGAAAAAGAGAAGCAGTTCACAAATGTTGATGAGCAGAAGACAAGAAACTCTGGTTGTAAAAAAAAATCTGAGCTCTTGAAAAAGAAAGAAAAAAAGAATTGAAAATATGAATGATATTCAATCAAAGGATCCAAATGATGAAATTCTGGAAATTCCACATGGAGAGACAATAAGGATTTTTGAATTGACCATCTCTGCTCGAACTGCTTGAAAGCACTTAAAACTGTTACCCTTGTGCTGAACAAACTTTTCTCCTAGACTGGAATTAAAAACTGTTCAATTTCATGCATTAAAGCACACTTTGAAACATGCTGAGGAAGGACCCCCCTCTCCTCTTGGCCAAGTAAGGTTAAACATTCTGCAAAGAGTTGCGTTTGAATTGAAATTTTTTTATACTTTTACCAGGAATGAACTACATTACTCATTTACTATGGTTTAATATGTCAGAACTGTCTATTTTAAGTTTTTTAACAAAGATTTTGTTGCCATGGTTGAAAAATAAACAACATTTCTGTGAAATCTTTCAAGATGCTGTATTATAAAACATCTACTGTTACTTTTTTAGCATGACTTCATGCATTTTCATGAATAAACATGAATAATAATATTGCATTTTTTGTTTACAAATAAGCAAGAATATTCATGAATGCTAATGGTTCATGAATTTTATTCATTCATGAACATTCCTGAAAAAATTCATCAAATTATTCATGAACAGTTCATGAAGATCCAATGAACTTATTATTGGACATTCTTGAAATGATGAATCTTCATGAATATGACTCTTCATGAATTATTCATGAAAAAAAATATTCATGAATATTCATCAATTTTCTTTCATGAATAAAAATTCATGATTTGAAAATGTCCAATAATAAGTTCATAGGATCTTCATGAATATTTCATGAACATTTCATGAATAAAATTCATGAAAAATTCAAGGAAATTCATGAATTATTCATGATCGTCTCGCAGGGGGTATATCATAAATGTGAGCTGTATTCTCTTTTTAATGGAAAAAGTTAATACAGATAAAATCTTATTTTTACGATGTGCAGATAAATAAAATTTTGTATTGAAAGAAACACCAAAGAACTAGACATTTTTAAGAAAACAAGAGCAGATATTGGATGTCTAGTCTAATTTGTTACGCCTCAAATTTTTGACGTATTTACGCTTAAACGACGTATGCAATAACGTCAGAAATGGATATTTTGACGTTACAAAATCGGCCCCTATTCTGTGCGCGACGTCCAAACTTTCCACATATTTAGGACACAATGTTAAGATGTGTATATTACCAAGAAATTCCGAATCTTTTATTTTTTCCGGTAATGTCCATACTTTTCAACTTGCATTTTTTGGCCATACCTTGGACATGAACAGATTCTCAGCGCAACTCCTCTTAAACAGCTGCACAAAATTTCGCCAAACTTTGCACATATTTAGGACACAATGTGTAGATGTGCATATTACCAGAAAATCCCGATTCCTCTATTTTGTCCTGGAATTTGCACACTTTTCAACTTAGATTGATGGCCATACCTGGAATATGGAGATAAACAGTTTGTCAGCACAACTCCTTTTAAACCGCTGCACAAAATTTTGTCAAACTTTGCACATATATAGGACTCAATGTGTGGATGTGCATATTACCAGGAAATTCCGATTCCTTTATTTTTATGGGAATTTCGGCACTTTTCAACTTAGATTTTTGTCCATACCTTGAATATAGGGATGAACAGTTTGTCAGCGCAACTCCTCTTAAACCGCTGCACAGAATTTCATTAAACTTTGCACATATTAAGGACACAATGTGCGGATGTGCATATAACCAGAAAATTCCGATTCCTTTATTTTTATGGGACTTTCGGCACTTTTCAACTTAGATTTTTGTCCATACCTTGAATTTAGGGATGAACATATTTAGGACACAATGTGTGGATGTGCATATTACCAGTAAATTTCGATTCCTTAATTTTTCCGGGGATTTCCTCACTAAAAACTTAGATTTTTTGCCATACCTTGAATACAGAGATGAAAAGTTTGTCTGCGTTACTCCTTATAAACCGCTGCACAAATTTCATTAAACTTTGCAGATATTTAGGACACAATGTGTAGATGTGCATATTACAGTGGCTGGAACGTTATTGTTGACACACCAATCGTGTAGAATAGTTCGTGCATCGTGCGTGATCGATCGTGTAACGTGCGAGATCGTGCGTGTAACAGACTCAATCGTTTGCGGTTTTAATTGTGCGTGAACGTGCGTTTAGAAACGTGTAAATTTCGTTTTGTAAGTTTTTATCGGAATGTTATCTGTGAAACAAGTATTTCGTTTTTATTTTATTTTATTTTTAATCCAAATAAAAAGAAATAAAGCGCAGTTTACATAATTGAATGCGGAACGAACTAACTATTGCTTATAAACAAGCAAAATAGTAAGTCGTACAATAGCTTACTTTTAATTAATTTTTAAAGTAAAACAATAATTTGTAATGTCGTTTTCTATGTTTTAGAGATACATAAACATTTTGAAGTAATGAAAACATATAGATATAACTTTTAAGTTAAGTCAGTCCATGCTGCCATTTTTTTGTCAATCGTACCCCCCATTCTTCATATTATGAAATCCAATTCAATCCAATTTTACCTGTCCACCTACTACTATCTTCTGATAGAACAAAAAAATCCGTTTTCTTATGTCGGAGAATTATCTAAATAATTATTTATTATCTAAAATAATAATAAAAAAAAATCTTACATGTATTTAGTACCAGAAATACCCATTTCTGTTTTTTTTTCAAAGTCGATAATATAATATATTTTTTGATAATTCTTTGAATCTAAAATCAATATAAAGCCGTATTTCGTTTTGGAAATATCGATTCCTAAATAATTTGAACTATTGTGCGTGAAGAATCGTGCGTTTGCGTTAGCAATCGTGTAAGATCGTGTGAGATCGTGAAAGATCGTTCGTGTATCAGGTTTAATCGTGCGTCAATCGTGCGGAATCGTGCGTGTAACGTGATCGTTCTTGTAAGTTGTCAACAATAACGTTCCAGCCACTGTACCGGGGAACTCTGAAGCCTTAATTTTTCCGGGATTTTCAGCACTTTGAGTTTTTTTGGGGTATGTGAGCTTGCTTACTTTTTTTTCAAAAAGTAAGTCAAACTTCAAGGTCAAGATCGCAGTGTGAAGAATCATAGTTTATTAAGAAAGTTCCAGTCACAGGTAATGTGTTCTATGTGTAATATAAAGCCCATCTTTTTAACTTTCATGTTAAGTATCGGTTCTTTCAAAAATCATGCATAGATTATATTGGTTGTTATGTGCTCAAAATCGTTGCCATGGGTTAATCAAGTGAAAAAAAAAATATGAGATGTTAATTGCATTTTTAAATATGTCTGATTTTATTTGTATAAAATGAATTGAAGAATCTTTAACAATTGTACATGACAGTGCTAAAAATATTATTCTATTAGGTGTTGCTAAGGAGAAATTGCTATGAGCATGGAGATATGATATTGTAAAATGGCCCCTAGTTTGCAGAAAAGTCTCAAAAGTCTTAATGTATTGTATATCACCCTTTGCATGATTTGTACACGGACCTTTACTTAAAATCAACTTCAAGTAATTTTGAAATATTTTGAGAAGAACAAAGTTCAAGGTCACGGGTCACATGTAATACATGTAGATATAAACTTGGAAAGATCTTTTTACAGTCTCTGCCCTCAATCAGAATATATGACCAAGGTTTAAGTTTAAGGCTACAGAGAAGAAAACGGTCTGTCAAATGAGATTTAATGCCCCCTTCCACTTTCTGTGAAAGCGGGAAACAATTCTGTCATCATTATAACATCACATAAATGCTCTATTCTAATCTTTATATTTCAGTGTATTTTTATGAAAATTGTGGACAGGAAATCCACGTTTATGATTCTTTATATTTAAAACTGAAGTCAAATGACGGCTATTTGATACCGGATGTGTTGTGCGATAATATTGTGGTAGCCCATGGTAAATTTCCAGACCTTGGCGAGGTTGTTAGTGTTTATGCACATTTTCGCTCTATAAGTCTTTCACAGCCAGAAGATGGAGTATGCATGTCCTCTAGAATTGATATCTACAGCGGATTAAAGGAGAAAAAGAACCTAACAGGTATTTTATTAAAATTGATTTCGATTGAAATGATATTTATGAATTTATATTTTTGTGTACTTTTTAATTTGTTTCCTGTGCTTCAAAAATATTAATAAATTCGTTTCAAATATCATTTTTACAGGAAGTGAAGGACTTTGTGGGAATTCGTTAGCAATTGCAGACTACTCAACTACAGACGATAATTTCATGCCTATAGAATTCAAGACAGATATAATCACACAACGGGGAAATTTTGAAATAATTCTTACCAGTTTTCATACGCCCACTTCCGGTGAGTTCTTCATATTCGCTTCTAACGAGACTCAAGCATTTTCGACCTTACGTGAGTCAAGAAAAATGGACAGAAAATACACACGATTGAATTTAACAGGTACACTGTGTTTTGTGCATGTGGCTTCCCAAACGAAAAATTGCTATAATTAGAATTCAATCGGAGTATTCAGATGACTAATTAGTTGACGGTCAACTGAACGTCAATTGACCATTAGTTGAATTTTTGCCATGCAAATGAGGGAGAGTTTAACTCATTTGCAGAGAGTAAACCACAGTACTGTTGAATGCTCCAATTTATTCTTTACAAGTGACCGTTAGTTGAGTGATCCTCTATTTTCTTTACAATTGACCGCTAGTTGAATACTTCTCTATTTTCTTTACAATTGACCGCTAGTTGAATACTTCTCTATTTTCTTTACAATTGACCGCTAGTTGAATACTTCTCTATTTTCTTTACAATTGACCGTTAATTGAATGCTCCTTTATTTTATTTGCAGTCGACTGCAAGTTGAATGCTCCCCTATTTCCTTTGTAGTTTTTTTCATTAGCTGAATACTCCAATGGTCAGTGCACGTAGGTGTCATGCATTATTTGAAAAAAAAAAATGCAGGGAGATTAAATTGAAATCTAAGACAAGCAGTGTTCTTGAAAATTAAGCTGCCATGTCTCTAAGTAGGAAAAATCACATCAATGGAGTATCTAAATTGACATAAATGTACATATATACATCTAAATGCATGTGATAAATTAATTAAGTTGACACACTCTCATAAGTTTCTGCATATGCCTTCTTCATTTTCCGTGCAGAAAAGGTACTATATAGATTTAGTCTGTAACGGGAACCAGTGTAATCAAGGGACTAGAATAAGGCGAACCTTTCCCAAAGTACAAGTCCTAACCTTGATGTAACTATTTAATTCAATGTACTCTATTAATTATAGTATTTGAGATTGGAAAGTCTTATCAAAATGATTGTATAGATGGGATACACTGGTTAAAATATTTACCCAGGTTCTTTAATGATTCCTAGATTATGATCAACACTGTGTTTTGAAATGAAAAGATTTGTCAAGTTTTATAATTTATTAGAACAAAGGTAAATATGATTTTATACTAGTTGATAACAAAAAGCAAAGATGTTTCCAAAATATAACAACTGGATTTATCCAAAAATAAATAAATATTTGAAAAATATAGGGGGAGAATATGACTTTTAAAAAATATGTATTTATTGCACTAAAGAGCTTTCATACACCCAGAATGTAGACATGTATAAAAATAAACACAGGGATAAGCTGAATATATCTCACTGAAATTAGGTAAATGATATTTAATTCTACCATGAACCAACAATATTTGACTCTACTATGGGTATATTATACTACATAATTTTGCTACCAAACTTGAAGTTCTTTAAGCACCAACGTTGCGTTCTTGACCCCTAGCAGAGTGAAATTCGCAAGTTGAGTAGCTCTATATATAGGGAGAGTAAGCCAATTATACACTAAAAATAAATGCCTAATCTGATTGGCCAGGACTACCCAAATGAAAACGAAATTTAACAAAATACTTGCAAAATATCTTCAAAACCCTACCAAATCATACTTTTATATTTTGTTAGTACGTTTTGAAAGTGTTACATTTAACGAAACATCAATGCAAGACTTTACAGGATGGGGTGGCATGGTATTTTGTAAATGTTTTATTACAATGTTTGTGTTTTATTAAAGTTTCTTTACACTCTGCAGAATGAAATTGCATTTTGAAAGTATTTCTGTACACTTGTCTACATCAAAGTAATATTTTGTTAGCATTTCATTTGAGTAACAGACATGATTAAGTTGAATTATCTAAGAGCTGCTAAAAGCTTCCAAGAACAACGTATCTATTTACATCCTGTGTTAGACTATTTGCGCCAATTTTCAAACCATCAGTACTAGGTCAGAGAGAAACAAAGAGATTGGTGAAGGGACATGCAAAGTGTTACTATATATATTTGATCCCTGATTGGAAAAAGGAAAATCAGGATGAATCATAAAAGAGGTATATTTATTGTTTGACATAAAGTTCTTTTTTACTGGACTACTGTTACTATATATATTTGATCCCTGATTGGAAAAAGGAAGATCAGGATGAATCATAAACACACCTCCTAACCTCATTTGCATAAATCGGAAGAATTCGGCGATAAACGTTATAAAATATGTACAAAATCCGTAAACGTCCGAACAGCTTTCCTCGCGAGATTCAGCGAGACCAACATGCTAGAGGTGAAAATCGAGAGAGAAATTCAACATGAAAAAAGAGGTAAAACTTTATGTTATCTCGATTTATAAAATTTGTAAATTGCAAAAAGTTGAAAAACAAACGTTTCTTTACCTGAAAAGTGAAAGTAGGTTTGCAGTTTCTTATTCTGTCAAGTGCTATTGCACTTTAAAGTGTCAAAACAGCACCTCTCGATTTTGTAAACATGTTTCCACGTGGAAGGGAGTAGTTGTGTTCGTTAAGATTAACCCATATACATTGATTTAGTAAACAAAAACACTCGTAAGTAGAATTTCATTTATTTTTTCGATTACCTGTCGCACAAAATGACTAAATATTTTAGGGCATATTTGTCAAATGCTGTTAATAGCATGTCTAAAATTGAAGAGAAAATGCAGGTGTGCTATGGTTCGTTCCTACTTGTGGTCTACTATGCATGCATAGATATGCAGAGTTACTGTTACTCGTATAAAAGTCATTATATTTACTTATCAATACCCAGTGATTTGTGAAAACAATATGTGTTTTTTCAAAAACCAAGAGACTAAAATTTAATTCTATCCGTACTCGTGTGTATGCACAAGGAGTTCTTCCGAATTTCCTTTACACATATACATGTGTGGATAAAGGATTAAAGGTTTGTTTTATACATTTGTTTGCAGTTTTAATAGTGTCAGGTGTTTATATCAATCATGCAGTTTTCACTAGAGCCTACTGATCGAAATATGGTTGTTACTTTTGTAATTTAATATCATAGAATTTATGATCAGATGATGTCAATGCAGTTCTCACATACTTGTGTATATATCAGGTATGAAACTTTACATATGCAGTTGTGGCCCGCATGGCGCAGTTATTAGAGCATCTGCTCTCGAGTCGGGAAGTAAGGAGTCAATCCTTACGTCGTGAGTTCGATTCCCACTGTGGGACGTGGAGACCAGTCCTTCGGATGAGACCGTATAAACTGAGGCCCCGTTTCGCTGTAGGTACTGGCACAAAAAAGATCCCTTCCTGCTCATGGGAAAGGCCCTTAGTGCCGAGCATTGGACAAAATTTGAAGCCCTCCACCAGCAAGTGGTGGCGTCTCCATATGAGTGAAAAATTCTCGAGAGGGACATTCTAAACATCATGCAATCAATCACATAATATTATAATAGTTTATGAAAATGTTTGAATTAAATACATGTATTCTTACAAACAAAAATATTCAAAGAATACATGTATTTAATCTACATATTGTTTAATTATTTCAATGTGTTAAATGAAGAGTAATTTTCTTTTTTGTTTGTCTATTGCAGGTTACTAGAGTACATTTTGAACAGCCATCTCCAAGTATGACAAAAATAACAGAATTGACTGTATAAGGTAATAAACAAACATTATTGAATTTAGAAAATGTATATAATGAAGCACAAATGTGAAATCATTGTAGGCCCAGGCTAGAAATAGTTTTCTTTCACTGCTCACTCAGGCTTTTTACTGGTCAGCTCATCATAATATCATTAACCCACTAGGCTACTAGAGGGAGACTGACCCAAAACCATAATAATAATAATCATGATAAATGTAATAGCTATATTTTGTGTATTTAATGTGATACACAGTTGACAAATAATTAATCTAAACAAAACAGGATTCCGAAATGACAGAACTTTGAAACAAGCCTGTCAACTTACTATCCCAACTATAATTGTATTTTTTTTATACATAGACCTGACCCAAAAGACATATGCCCCCTACCATGTACTAGCCTAGATAAAAAAAAATCACCGACCCCAGTCACGTGGGCCTTCAATTATTTTTTAGCCTTGCATTGTAAAGTCAGCTATCGAGACATTCCATCATTTTTTGTTTGTTTTTTTTTTTAATGATATGCACCATCCCACACAAATTATACACACAAGAAAATATTTTTTCCCATTTTTCAAATATGGGCTTTACTGATCTTTAAATGTATACAATGTTTGTCATTTCTTTTGAAGATGACATTGTTTATTGAATTTAAAAATGATCTTCAATATGTATGCGCATGATACTGTATTAAATGCACAAATATTATAATTTCATTAAAGTAAAACAAAAAAGCAAATATAAAAAAAAGAAAATCAATTCAATTCAATCATAATGTGCAATGAATGTTTCTTGCAGGATATACTCTGAGGACAAGTGCAAGGTTTGACTGTTGTGAGTATTGTATATGTAATTGTAAGGATAAATTTAGAACATTTAACAGGCACCATTATTATTTAATTATTATCATCCTGATTGGAATAAACAAAGAAAAAATATTAAGCATGCCCATTTACTCCAATATCTACATGTACATGTATATCAATGTAAAAGAATCCTGTGTAAAGTTATGTATAGTTAGAGAGAGAGAGAGAGAGAGAGAGAGAGAGAGAGAGAGAGAGAGAGAGAGAGAGAGATGTTGATAAAAGGGTCAATATAATTGAAAATCATGCATTAGTGATCTTTGTTTTTGTTTAATTCTCAAAAGATTTAATCACATTCTGTTCTATTTTCAGCAGATACTTTAATAATAAAGAATGGGTGAATAAATTCTCAAATCATGCTGCATAACAGTACATGTAAGTTCAAAGGCAGAAGAAAATCCATTTATAAAAGAGAATTTATAAATACAGTTGATTGTCTGTTTCAGCAAACAATTTAATGAACTGAAAATTATGCTGCCATCATACATAAATCAGCATATTATGCAAACTGTAAATGATTGCATTACATATTTTTTCTGATTTGCATGTAGTGCATTGATATTTGTCAGTATTTTTAATTCAGTTTTTTCCACATAATTACAAATGCTTGTATTTTATTTGGATTGATTTTAAAAATTAAGAGGATTGTATTAACTTATTAATCATATTTGTAGTTCAACTGTAACAAAACAAATTATCTGATGAAAGCTTCAACCATCTAGGAAAGGATGTCAAGCCCAAAGAGAAGGTATGTTGATTAGTGGTGACGATATGTTATTGATGTAAATAGAGTACAGCAATAAGATAGAGAGAACAATAGTAATCCGTAGACACAAAATTAAATCTTAATTCTTTTCAAGAACAGCAGGTCATGATTAGTCACTCTGAGATAGTTATGAGCAGATTTAGACTTGTTCATATATGTAGGGTAGGGTGGGTACACAGTGGGGGATAAAAGTTTTATTCTGGAATATTTAAGGCTGAACCTTTTATTATGAAATCTATTCAAGATTATCAGGGCACGATACATCACATATTTTTAACGAATACATCCTAGTACAGAATCCCAGATTCAAGGGTAATGGATGTGCCATAATTAGAAACAGAATGTATATCTTGAAAGTCCTATGTAAATATTGGACAATCATTTTGTTTATTTCCTGGCTTTTAAGTTAATTAGAGATTAAAATAATATGTTTTCATATTTAGATTCCTATTTTATGGAGACTTTAGATCAAAAAAGCTACAATTTTCAGAAAGAAAGCAATATTTTGGGGTTATAGAAAAGGGGCATAACTCTCATCATGATAGTAAATGATAGATGCCAGATAATTGTGTACTGTTGGAAAACAAGTGATTAAAGTGCCGTCTGAATAAGTACAGTGAAACAACAGTATCTTAAAATCAAACAACTTTTGACTACCTAGGGTATGTTGATGTTCATGACAGTATAACAAATTGGATGAATGATTTGCAAACACTTGGAATTGCATTTATATGATTTACTTTTGTTAATTTAATTTGCTAATTTTGCGCATATCTTTTTCTCATTCAGATTATTAATGAACAGTGATAGATTGAATTAGCAACTGTAAATGGCATACATGTTCATGTATATGAATTTTATATACTCTGTTCAGAGTCGAACTTTGGTATATATCTTTGACACTGAGTGATATCTTGAATACATTGAGATATCAAAGTCCTTTTAAAGTCCCTTGAACAACATATTTTTTTCTATTTATCTCACCCTGAATCTCTTTGATATCTCAGTTTTTCAGCAGTCAAATAAGCATTTCAAGATAACAAGTGTGACTTTATTTTATTATCATTTAATTAATTTATGATGAATTATAAAAATATCAATCATAAACTTTTATGTTAATGCATTTACATTTTATACTTTTCAGGCCATATAACAAATGGTTGCCAAATTCATGAAGACTAACTGGGATGATACAGTACGTTTCTACTCTTATGAACCACATCTAAACATCATTTGAGGATCCCTTTCTCAGAAAAAAAGAATTTGCATATTCAAAGACTATATAGTTTATTGTTAATTGTACATTGTTTAACATTCTTCTTGAGAATTTTTCACTCATATGGGGATGCCAATTTTATATTTGCCGGTGAAGAGCTGCAAATTTTGTCCTTTACTTGGCACACATGGTTAATTGAGCAATGAGGGATCTTTTTGGTGCTAGCACCTACTGCAACACAGGACCTCTGTATTTACAGTTTCATCTCTATGTCCGACTCTGGGATTTTGAACCAGCAATTTAAGGATCAACTCCTTACTCATGACTCTCAAGCAGACGCTCTTGCCACTGTCCCATGCAGGTGACTTCATAGGTTTTAAAATAATAAGATAAGATTTATAACTTGAAACTGATTTTTTTTAATTCAATCACAGTATAGAAAATATTTGCAAAAAAAGGGATGTAATGGCTACATGTAGCTCTCACTGGTATTGCATGCTTAAACTATATATGTGAATTACATATTGTAATTACACATGTATTTTAAATATGATCTGTAAAAAAAGAAAGACTTTAACATTTTTACTATGAATTTTATTATAAGGTTGATTATCTTTAAAAATTGGAACTTTAATTTTTTTAGAGTAGGAAAAAAATATTTAGAATGTATATGTGCATTTAATTTTGTTTATTAAAAAAAGTCAAATTTTAGGAGATCTATATATTGATTTATAAATTTTTACTTCATTGATATATGAATGGTGTGCATATCAGTTTAAATTATTTTTGTTGAATTCAGTTAACAACAACAAAAAAAATAATAACTGAACCAAATTATGTAGATAGATACCTTCCAGAAATATTTACATGTACTAGTAGCTGCAGATATGTAGCTTATGTGAAATCAGGTATACTTGAAAATCAATTTGCCTATATTTATTATACAGATATTTAGTTAACACATTCATATACATATGCAGTATTTCATACTGAAAATAGACTGTGTGTTAATGTTATAATTATTCAACATAAAAATTGATCAGAAGTTATCTTGATGAAATAAAAACATATATCTTACAATATTTTGTTTTCTTTTTTCCCCCAATTAATTACAATTTAAAGGTATATAAATTGATAAAAGAAACTGACTATACCATTAAAAAAAATCTTGAGTTGTCTTTTCTTGTTTAAAGAAACTATCTGATGCAATGAATGCTCCCTTGGGTTCATGACCCTGAATATTAATAAGGTTGGGAGGTGTGATAAAAGAGGTATATTTATTGCTTGACATAAAGTTCTTTTTTACTGGACTACAATAACTTACTTACTTACTTACTTAATCCTCTTCGTGCTGGGTAGCACATAAGGCCGTCACCAGAGACTTCCATGCTGGCCTGTCCTGTGTCCATTTCTGTATCTGTCCCCATGTCCAGCGGTTCTTTCCCATCTCTTTCTCTACAGATCTTCTCCGTGTTTCTTTTGGTCTTCCTCTCTTTCTCTTGCCAGGTGGTGTCCATTTCAAAGCAACCCTTGGGATGAAAGTTGGGTGCATTCTACATACATGCCCTATCCACAGCCATTTTCTTCTCTTTATAACTTGAGATAGAGGGGTGGTTACAATAACTATATAACCTTCAATCTGTGAATGTGGATGTGTATATATATGGCCCTGTTTTATTGGGTTTTTATTTATTTTAAGATTGACCTTCAATCCATATACTAGCTTAGAACAGTTTTAAGCATTGGATTAAGTGATAAATTATAATACTTGAAAATTCTGTGAAAACAAGGTGATTGGAGAGGTGGCCAGTGACATGAGGATTATATCTCTTAAACCAAGGGACTTTACTTTACTGCAGAGAATGATATAAGAGAGTGAACTTGCATGGTACATGTTTTTAAATGCTTGAATGGTGGGCTAATTAAACATTTCAAATTTAATGGTTTATTGATGATTTGTTACTTATGCTTTGTTAGTAGTTTGTTAGAGTGTTTTGTTAGCCTCATTTGCATGTGATTTGCTATACTAATGGAATACTGTCAAAACACAGTGTTTTGTAAGTACAGTACCCGCATCGTTATTCTTTACAAATCTATCGTGTCCTATCGTGCGTGTATATCCTATCGTATCCTATCCTATCGTGTTCTCCGTTTATCGTGTTTTGCGTTTTCTATCGTGTTTTCCGTTTATCGTGTTTTGCGTTTATCGTGTAGATCGTTTATCAGGTTCTATCGTGTATCGTGTTTTGTGTTTATCGTGTATATTCGGAAACCCTCGCTTTTTATCTTTACAACAGGAAAAACCTACCGAGGTATTCCGAGTTTCTTTTTCGTGTTGTTAACTAAAATAAGATTATTTTAACCAAGAAAAAGAAAAGAAAGTTTTATCCCTCAGTTTTTCATCATTAAAAGAAATATTAAAGCGTGGAAGGAAAAGAATAAATATAAAAATAATATAATTAATAAATTAAACAATTAATAATTCATTAAATTCAGACAATACTCATATCATAGTCAAGCAGAGAATTAAAAATTAATTTTTGAAAATGAAATAAGCGATTCCCAGGTTGTTGTTTTTTTAATTCAACGAATTGTATAATTTTTTTTCGTCAAAATTAAATGTTAATCAAATTTTCTTAAATTGGTCAGAGTCACTAGAGGATGATTTTCGGTAAGTCACGGTGTATACGTAACCCCCCTCCCCCCTGAAAAAAATTATAATGATAATTAGCAGAGGATTTATTTGTATCTTTTTTAAATGTCCCGATCAATCGTCTGGTACTATTAGGAATGCGTTTTCGTCTCTTATCTGCATATATGCACAATTATGCACAATTATTCAAAATTTTGATTTTAAAAATAAAAATAACTAAGCGTTTAAGACATTGATCCAGATAATTTTAACGCGGATTATGTCCGTATAGGTACAATTTTTAAATTTATTTTTCATGTTTTTATCACTATCTAATCAGTTAATTTTTTTAATATGTCTAAATCTAAAAAAAGAATTATATCAAAATTGTAAAATGTAAAAAAAAAAAATGCATGAAAATGCTCTACCCGATTTAACAAACCATGGCAGTTACTATAAAATAGAAGTTTTTCATTGATTTTATCTGGCATTTAATCTTAAAATAATAAACAGGAAAAACATGATGACATTTAACAGCTTACCTTTCCGGCGTGGAAATAAACTGAAAATATAATACACCTGAGTGTCAAATCGAAGAGCTTTCCTTGCCATAAAACTGAAAAGTATGTGTACCTCTCTAATCAGCACACTGCCTTCCTGCGCGGTCAAAACCCCTCCCCCTTCTCCCCTATCCCCCTAAATGATAGCTCGGCCTGTGTGTGTTCACCGTCAAAATACCTAAACTGCTCTCTCACCTTGTGTCAAACAGTATATATTTTCGGTATTCTGTTCATACCTTGTGTGAACTACATGAAATATTATTCTAAATCAATTAAATAATTGTACAATTTGTGGATTTAAAAAAAAAATCATTTCCTTGCTTGAATTTAAATAAAAAAAATCATAAAAATCAATTTAATGAAACAACGTCCCTTAGCTCAATCCGCTGATTTATTTTATTTATGATGCTTCCATAATGTGTATGTTAATAAGTCTTTTAATGAACTTTTTAAAAAAAAAATACTGCACTTATGGTACATGAACTTTTGGATTATCGGATTTTCTTTTGGATCACCGGGTTTGCATCGGGTTACAAACAAAATTAATTCCAGGAAACAATTTCTTTGATCGTAGAAAAGATTGAAATAATATTAACATTCTAAACTACGAAAAGTTGCTTGCATCGATTTTTTTCTACGGTAATTTACTATATTAATGACAAAAAAGAAGTCTGATTCCGCAATGACCATGTGAGACGAGTAAATGTATTGAACCAAATCAATTTATAGTATTAATCGATTTCATTCCATACGTATATATCTTTATTTAAGAAGTCAATATTATTTTTGGCTATTTGGTTAGCTCATGTTTATTTAATTTTAAATTGGTTACGGATTTTCAACATCCCGACCTTCGAATCTGCCGTATATGAGATTACCGGGTAGGTCTAAAATAATTTTCAGATTTATCAGATAATTATTGATTTGCATTAGAAACAGCACACACAAATTTAATAGCAATGATTTATAATTATTTAGTCGGAAAAGTCGCATTTCACCCTTTTAATATTTGTTTATAAATTTTTGTGTTTTGTATTTTAAAGAAAAAAAAGTATTTTATTATTCAATTCAATGTTCGTTAATTAATACGAGGTTTTAAGAATATGATATATAAATGTTTACATGTACATACATATGAGGAAGAGCTTAGCGTAAACGTACATGTGAAGTTGTAGCAGATTCATATTCTGTTGACACAGTTTACATGTATTAATGCAGAGCGCTATTATATATTAACAATTATTTAGATTTCTATTCAGGAAATTAATTTTCTTGAACTATATAGTTTTTTAAAGCCGATTTCTTAGGACCTTTCTTTCGGCCGGTCTTATACATCTATTTTTTCCCCTTTGATTTTAATATTTAATTGCGACTTTTGGATACACCGCAGATTGCAAACTTTAGACATTAAATACAAATATTTAATCTATTGCGTAAATTTCTTCCGTGAAATAATTTATTACTTGTAGATAAATTTATTAGGTACAAATGTATATTTTTTTCATAAATAATAAATCTATTCATAGAGTTTCATAAATTTATAATAGTATCCATGAGAAACTGCACATAATTATGTAAGGGATTTCTGTGCAACAATTACATGAATGTTAAAATATCCATAATTAAAGGATTCATAGTTCAACCTTAAAATGAGAATTTCAACATTTACACAATTATTCGTAAATCCACACCCTTGAGTAGAAATTTAAAAAAAAATTACAGTTTCCATTTCATAATAATCCAATTAATCATTGTCAAAAAATATATACAAATAGACAACTTTTGTAAAATGACCAGTGATATCAAAGTTTTTATTATAATAATTAAATGTACTCTATAATTTAGATTGAAGCTATTTAAATTAAAATATTGCAGTAACTAAACAAAATAATCTTTTCGTCTTGTCAGAAAATGTTCCGACTTTTGAAACAAACCTATCAGTTTTTGCGTTTATCTTATCGTGAAGATCGTTTATCAGGTCTATCGTGTTTTGCGTGTATCGTGTTTTGCGTTTATCCTATCGTGCGTGTATCCTGTCCTATCGTGCGTGTATCCTATCGTATCGTGCGTGTATCCTATCCCGTTAATATATACATGTATGTCCCTGCGATAATAAACTATTTACTTACTTACTCACTTACTTACTAACTTATAGTAGTGTAACGTGTATATGGGTCCGTGAATTTGAGTATAGATCCTTAATCAACCAAATGAATTAAACAAATGATTATGCAAACTTGAGATAGAACGAATTAAAACAAATGATTAGATATAATAGATGACAAAGCATAAGAAAAATGAACGAGTCAATATATTACATATATTACTTAGGATTTCCTATCCTTATCATAATAAAAATAACTAATGCGTATAGGTCTCTGTCCCTGATGTATTCGGACACGTCTGTGACAGGTACGTTTTAAGTTTCTGTTCTTTACCCAGACAGATTTAAGCATTTATTATGAAGTAAATTATCACTATATTCCTTCAAAATATATTTTAACCCAGTATACTAGCCACCGTATACTGTATCCTTTTAAATCCCGTACCTTGTTATTTCGTTTTAGACGACCCTCTGTTGTGAGCTCCGACTGGCAACTGTCAGCTTTCAGCAGAATGCTCTTTTATATAGTAAAGATCACCCGGACTACCCTCGGCCGCTATCATAGAGCACTACGATAAAGTCCGGGTGATGTAATCCATCTAGCATCCCGAGCCCGATCTGTCACAGTAGTATTGGCTAGTTATGAACCAAAGTACGGCATTATTAACACTTGTCTAGCCATATTGTACTTTGAATGATGGGGGCCAAGGGGGCGAAGCCTGAAGCTTCAGGGTTTTGGTGTATTTAAAAGAGTATAACCAGGCACAATAACAGTGGTACTGATTAGTTATGTACCATAATATGGCATTATTAACATTAGTCATATCATAATTTAAAAATTTTAAAGGGGGGGGGGGCGTGCGCCCCCATCGCCCCCCCCCTTAATCTGCCAGTGAGTATATAGGTGCATAATACATAAGTAGACATCCAAACACCTAGCTTGATCCTTAACATGATCCGTGACTCTTAAAAGAATTATTATAGAGAAGCTAGTTTATTATAAATATTATAAAACATTTTCATTATTTTACAGGGGATTGTTTATCGGGTGAGTTCCGTTGTGATAATGGTTGGTGTGTGGACTCGACGGTAAAGTGTGATGGTTTTCAGAACTGTGTTGACAAAA